AGGCAGCCTGGGAGGCCCCGTCACGGCTGCCCGGGCCGGACGTGTTGATGCGCTGGCATCACAGCCAGTTTTGTGCTGGTGACATTGTGCTTGTCCCCGCTGACGGCCTCCGTGGCCTGCAGTGGCCCGTGATCGGGGCTGAGCTCACGTTTCAGTGCGAGTGGCGTCTTCGTGTTGAGGTGGAGTGACAGCCCAGCGGTAGCTGTTTGCTGCTGAGACGGCCTCGGGCCACGTGCTGCCAGGCCTGTGCAGCCGTTGGGAACCAAAGAGGACTCGAGAGGAAGTTAACAGTCGGGACGAGGGAGGTGCTGGGTAGAAGCCCAGAAAGCACCCCGTGCGGGGTCCGGACCTCAGAGAAGGTGCACAGGCCCGTGGGAGCTCGTGCGTGGTGCCGCCCCGGCGAGGTGTGAGCTCAGACGAGCTGGGCTGGTGGGTCTGGAAGGGTGAGTAGGCGTTCACTAGGGGACAGGAGTCAGGGGCAGTGGATGGTCAGCAGCAGCCCTGGGCTCAGGAGGGATGTGCCTGCCTCCCCCCAGGAGGCGGAGCAGGTGCCATGCTGGGCGGCATCCTGGGGACTGGGTGTGGCCTCAGGCACGTCCCTGCAGGGACCCCACCTGCCCAGAGGACAGGCCAGCCCCAAGGCGGCCATGCCTGCGGACAAGCAGGGCGCTGTGAGGGTGGGCCAGCCGGTCAGTGGCCAAGGAGCAGCGTCCAGGACACAGGCCTTACTGCCCGGGGAACGGATGGTCAGGGCGGAGGGTACCAAGCCCTCTGGCTGCCCGGCGCCCTCGCTCACCCCTCTCCCCCGCCTGCCCAGGAGGCCGCGGAGGAGGTGACCCGGCACGTCCACTCCCTGTCGGGGAAGAAGGACGGGCTGGTGCCCATGTTCATCAACACGCACAGCGGCCTCTTCACCCACGGAGGCGTGTTCACCCTGGGCGCCAGGGCCGACAGCTACTACGAGTACCTGCTGAAGCAGTGGATCCAGGGCCAGCGGCAGGACACGCGGTGAGGCCGCTCTGCGCCGTCCCAGCTCCAGGGCGCCCATGGGACGCAGGTCCTCTCAGCACAGCACGTGCCAGGGAAGGGCTGAGCTGGGGTCTGGGTCTGGCTACGGGCCCAGCTCCCTCCCCGAGGAGGGGCGGATGCAGCCCCGCGAGTCCCCTCTGGAGAGAGGGCGCCAGGACACCTGGGCTCCGTCCGCGGGTCCTTGGAGCTCAGTGGGCTGCTTCCCTACCTGCAGCCGCCCTGGGGGGGGGGAGGCTGGCGTGGCTGCCCCTCTCGCCAGGGCTCACCCACCAGGGAGCCGCCCTCCAGGGCTCGGGCAGGTGGGAAGGGACCACCCTGTTTGGGAAGCAGAAGGCACTGCCCTGCCCCTCAGCTGACCCACCCCAGGCCCCACCCCCAGGCC